TTCCTAATTGATGTGTTTTAGCACATGGTATAACTGCAGCCAATGAGGGCTAGTGGAACCAGGAGCCAAAAATAACCAGTCATCAAGGCTGTTTTAACAGAACCTTTCTGGGTTGATTGTTGATCTCTATTTTCAAGGTTAAGGAGAAATACTATTTTTCTGTGTTTACTCAGCCTTAGATTTTGAGTGCCTAAGATGATTGCCAGCCTAAATGCAGCTGCCCTCCAAACCTGTGTTCTCTACTTCCTCTTTGAGTCATAATCTTCAGCCAGTCTATGGAATTGACTACTACATGGTAGCTCAGAGTTTTTTGACATGCTTAGTAACTCTACAGGAGGCTGAAAAAGAAAATTTAAGAATTCTGCTACTTTGGCTTGAAATGTGAATGTTGATAGTTAATGGGGTACCTCTATTCAGTCCTTCTGGTTTTGCAGGTTACAGTGAAGTTAGTATGCAGATTTAACCCCTGTCTTCCACTTTACAGGGCTGAAATCAGTACTGTTTCCCCAAGAAAATCTACTACCCTATTGCAAATGCTATAACGATTTCTAGTTGTTAGGAATACAGCTGAAGAATTTCATTTCATGACTCCCATGTGAAATTGCAAATGCGATCCATAGTGCTGCATTATGTATGACACCTTTAATACAAGAATAGAAGCATCGCCAGAAGACAAGACAGAGTATTCAGACTTCTGGTCACAAACCACAAGCTACCACAGACATTATTTACTTGCAAACTCCAGACTATGAGTTGTTGAAACTTAGGAAAAAGTCCTCTGAATGTAATATCAAATAAAAAATGATAGTCTGTTATTAAATATCTCCAGATAATAAAGAAACTTGAAAAAATTCAGATATTTAATTTGTTTTATCAAAAGAAAGCAAAAAGCACTCATGGTGATTGGCTAGAAGTTCAGGTTAGTTAATCTTGATATCATCTGATTCAGAATCCCCAGAGCCTGTCTCATTAAGCAAGGAACTTTATGATTTTTTGTTAGTTTTTAAAAACACAAAACTTACTGTTCCAAACTCAGTTGCCACTAATATAGGCTAGAGGGTAATGGTCTGAATTGTTCTGTGCTTAGAAATACATTTATTTGCCCAACCTTGATGCCAACCTTGATCCCACCAAACTCTCTCTCTCCCTCCCTCTCCCTCCCTCTCCCTCCCTCTCTCTCCCTCTTTCCCCTTCACCTATACAACCCAGTCATAAAGAGGCTTCCTCACCTTGCTCTTCAGTTTTGAGCTATGTTCACCCTGCTACTTGGAAGGAAGAGGAAGAAAGGCCACAAATAAGAGCAGAGTTTACAGTGATTTATGGGACCATATGCCAGCCCCTCTCTCAGGCCTTAGAAAGCCCGGTAAAGAAAAAGCAGCTCCATTCCTTGGTGGAGCAGATGCTCTGACTTTGACCCTTACCATCAACTCTCAAAATTATTTTGTTTGCTGTAACCACATGGGGCCCATGTTATATATTTATTGTTGTGGACAAAAAACTGAAAAGGTTCCCCTTGAGTGACCCTTAACTTCCTGCATTCATTTTAACAGAGTTGATTTGGAATTAATTGTGTAAGGGTAGATATTGTAATCTCTTGTGGCTACTCCTTTTATCTTAGAATATAGGAATTTTGTATGACAGCACAATTAGTGTAGAATATACATATGGTGCTCACAAGCATCTATTCTGCATTTTAAAGAGTTTCATAGGTTATAGTCTGCCTGACCAAACTTAATTCCAAGCTCTCTGTTTATAATATTGTCCAATTATCAAAGCTGGGATGTATTATCACTGCCAGTTACTCTTTTTTTAAATTTATTTTATTTATTTATTTATTTATTTATTTATTTATTTATTTATTTATTTATTTATTTATTTTTGTGAGGAAGATCAGCCCTGAGCTAACATCTATGCTAATCCTCCCCTTTTTGCTGAGGAAGACTGGCTCTGAGCTAACATCTATTGCCAATCCTCCTCCTTTTTTTTTTTTTCCCCCAAAGCCCCAGTAGATAGTTGTATGTCATAGTTGCACATCCTTCTAGTTGCTGTATGTGGGACGCGGCCTCAGCATGGCCGGAGAAGCGGTGCGTCGGTGTGTGGCCAGTTACTCTTGTTGTCAATTTGTTTTGGCTCAACTATGGTTCTGTTTGTACTTTACTGTAATGTAGTGAATACATTGGATTGGGTTGTTAGTTTAACAAGCTCTCTGGAGAACACTTTCATGATGATGCATGTTGAGATATGCTAGGTGGCCTTAAAGTTATTTGCATATTTGCCAAAACATACAGAAATTCATTCGTTAGGAATTTTAGAAAGGATAAACTCTCAATCTACAGATGAGGTAAAGACTGCATTTGTAAACGTGGGAGTGTTAATTCATGAGTCCTAGCCAAATTTCTTCAAGGGTTTTGATTTGACCAGTCATTCCTTCTCTTATAATTTTACTGGATGAATTATTTTATGTCCTTTTAAAAAAGTATTCTGGTAGTTAAGCTGTTATTGACCCTTGTGCTCTGTGCAGTTCACAGTGTTGTGGGAACTCAGTGATCTTAGCCAGATGTTGAGCTGCAAGTTAAAGGAAATGTTATCAGAGATTGGAACTAACTGTGTTGTTAATATTTACATTGTGCTCAGCTGGTTTAAAAATGTACTCTAATCTCTTCCTGTGCCCACCACAACCTATTGCATCAAAATTTCCAGAGTCAGGGCCTGGGAATCTGTATTTTTAAAATACTCCCTTGAACTTTCTGGATTCTGGAAATGTGCTCATATTTTTATCTGATGGTCATTACACAAGTGTATATATGTTAAAACCTTTCAGGGTATATATTTAAGATTTGTGTACTTCATTCTAGTATTTTATTCTCTGTATGTTATACGTCAATAAAAAAAGCTTTTAAAAAATGTACATTACTCTCCTCATTTGGTCAAGCAGCTTGCGGTGGTCACTTAATGAACACTATTAAATGCCCACTGTCCACATAGTCATGATCCTGGAGTAGATGACATAGTGGGTCTTGACCCTTGGGAGTATAAAATCTGGTGGAAGAAAAAGTGATGTTACATAATATAAAGCTTTATAGTTGATGAAGTCTTTTGGTACAGATGATCTCATCAACACTGTGGTTTATGGGCAATTTTACTATCCCCATTTTTTTGTTAAAGAAACTGAGGACCATTTATCCAAATTACTCAGCAAGTAGGGAGTAGTTATAGGACTTAAACTGAGACTTTTTAGAAAAGCCTATATTTTCCCAGAAATAAGAATGCTTCAATTAACAACAACAACAAAAAACCTTCACATGGAAGCAGAAGCTATAGCATTTTATGGAGCTATAGAAGCCAGTGCCCAGAGAGTTCTCAAGGATGTGGAGTCGATATTAGGTTTTCCTGCGGTTCATTGTCTCTCCATGTTGCTTATTTTCATGCCATAGTTGCCCATTTGGACCTCTGGAATTTTAGTATATTAAGCTTTCTCTGGTGAATGTAATGTTTCTAGAAGATTTTTTCAATTGAAATTCCCTACTCTTTTGGTCTTTCTGACTTTCAATTTATTCTTGCCTCATTTTCAAATTCTTGGGAAGTATTTCCAGGTGATGCCAGCCAATGATGAATATCCTTCTTTCTTATTAGCATTTATTACTTGTTTCATATTCTTTGGCACTTGATCGTTTTCCATTCAGCTCTTTTTTGCTGCCATGTACTGTTCTTTCTTTCTTTACACAAATTTTGTCTTCCTAACAAGATTATAAGCTCCCTAAGCATGAAACTAACCCATGGTGGCACACAGCAGGTTTTCACTAAGTGCCCTTTGACATAAACAACACACTTACTTGGTTTTTCCCCCTTTTTCATATTCCCCCCGTCTTACACCTACTAGGTTTTGCTGCTGTTACGACCTTAGTATAGGAAAGAGTAGACTAACAAGGAGTAGACTAACAAGGAGCTTCTTAGGTGGGATCTCCAGGTACTTAAACCCATGGATCTTCAACTCTAGGAACCAGTCTCAGAGCTCTTTCATCTTTCCTTCCTTGTTGATGAGTGACTTTAGTGATATGAAATCTTGTTATGGGTGACATACAATTATGCCAAGTAACCATGTTTCCCTTTGCTAGTCATAGTCACTTAGGGAGCCTTTTCAAAATATATGTAACATTTGCTGTGTGTTCTCTTCCCCTGTGATCACCACCACTGCCCATCCCAAGGCATGTCAGGAACCACTGGTCTTCATGTTTATACAGTAACTTCCTATTTCAGAAGGTAGGGCATGGTTGGTGGAGAGTATTGGGGTATTTATCAATATCAACTTAAGAATTTGTTGGTGGTTCTGATTCTGCGGAATGAAATTATTGCTTTTCAAGCCTTCACCCACTGACTGACTGTATCTCTTGCATACTCTTGAATTACACCTATCCAGCAGATCTTTGAGCCCATAAAAATTCCATGAAGGCCCTCTATAATATTCTTAGAATTAAACTAGATTTTCTTCTTTGGTCAGTAATGCTCTCTTTATATATTAAAATGATCTTTATTTCTTCGGACAAACAGTTTGTTTTTCCTTAAGGAGTTCCCCCTTTCAGATAAGGCTAGTTTTGCAATAAAGTCAAAGGTAGGGTGATCAACCTAAGAGGGAGTACTCCTGCTTATTGCTCTGTGGAAAAACTCATCTCCCCAAACTTATGGCTAATTTCCTCTCACCTGGATCTGAATTCTAGTTAAAAGTTTATCCTTTAACTTCTTAACATTATGTGAGGCTCAGTTGTTTTTTATGAAAAACACATTATAATGTAGAAAGAATATGGATCTGTAGACTAAATTGCTGAACTAAAATAGATCCTTAGAGTTAACCTACCCTTACCACCTCCACCTTTCCCACTACCCTTCCTTATGCATATTTGCAGGTTGATCCCTGCCTTTTTAGGTTTCTGTTTATCCAAGATAGCAGCCATGGGCATGTAGAGGATATGTCCTGACTGATGTGCCTGCCTTTATGTTTCTAGGTGGGCCATGCTCAGACACAGCTCATGTCTCGTTAATCACACCAACCAAAAGATCCTGTGGTACAGGTATGTACGTCATTCTTATCTGGATTCATGCTTATCTGAATTCTTCACAGAAATTAGCTACTGGTTTTTTTTTTTTTTTTTTAATTTTATTTATTTTTTCCCCCAAAGCCCCAGTAGATAGTTGTATGTCATAGCTGCACTTCCTTCTAGTTGCTGTATGTGGGACGCGGCCTCAGCATGGCCGGAGAAGCGGTGCGTCGGTGCGCGCCCAGGATCCGAACCCAGGGTTGCCAGCAGCAGAGCGCGCGCACCCAACCGCTAAGCCACGGGGCCGGCCCATAGCTACTGGTTTTAACGTGGTGTCCTTGCCAGGGTACTCTGATTTCTTCCATCAGTTGTGAAGTGATGTATACGTGCATAGTGTTGGGAGTAGAGTGTGAGCAGGGGTCAGAGTGGTGCTCTTGGAAGTCAGGTTGACTGAGTTAATGCTGGCAGCTAGAACTAAGAAGGTGGACATCAAAATTCACCAACTTCCTAATGTCTGAAGAATATTATTAAGGCATGAAACATACAGAAAATGCCTAGTGGATCATTGCCCAGTTTCTAGCATGTGGTTCATTTGTCTAAGTCTTGGACTTACTGAAAAAACATTATTTAAATAATGGAGGCTGTAGAGTGAATGAAGTTGTAGTACAGATAATCAGTGTTTTAACTTGGCTATTATAATGTCTTAATAGTTTTAGGAAATTATTTTCTCTCATTTGTCTTAAAGCCATGGGGTATGCTGAAATCATTCTTTTCAGATGCATGGAGTCCCAAAAGAGTTTTGTGCCTCTGTGACATTTTTATTAAACATGAAGTCATGAATCTTGTAGCTTTCTAAAGAGCAGTCATAATAATGCCCATTGCTCCCTTAGCCTCTAGCTTAATTTATTTTAAACAATATTTGTCTTTTCTAATAATGCAGCCTGCTATTTAAAATATCTTAAGGATTATATTTAGAAGAGTCAAAGTAATTATTTTGTTTTTCTAAAGGTCACAAAGTATTTTTCATAACTTAAAAAGTCCTTTTAACTCCCCAACAGAAAAATCACAAACTATTTCTGTGTACAAATTTACGCTGAAACCTCAGCCTCTTTAAATGCTCGTAGTTTTGATGTTAAACCTCAAATAGGCCTGTCCTTGCACAGTTCCAGAGTAACATTCAGGCACTGAACTCTAAGGAATTTAATTTTACTCTTCTGTTCCAGATGATCAGTTTTGAGGCAGGGCTATGCGAGATAGTCTTGGCATGGTCTCATGCCTCCTGTGCCCAGTACCCAACCTCCACTGGGTAGTTCCTAATTGAGATAGAAGAGAACCGTGCCCTGGAGTGAGACAGACTGTCCTGATTAGCCAGTGGGAAGTCGGAGAGCCAGCTTCCTACCCACTCCAGCCAGAAGCTTGAAAACGTTCAGAGCCGGTGATTTCGGGTCCAACGCTTCACACACACAGTGTACTTCAGTCTTTCTTCTTTCCGTCCGTTCTCGGTCCTCAGGGCAGGGTTTGCTGTTAGCACTACTGACATGATCAGGTAGCAGTCAAGGAGTGAGCGTCGAGCACATTGGCTCATCCTGAGAGATTTAGAGGCTTCTGTGCTCAGCTTAGACACTGAAACTAGGAACTGAGGGTAATATTTTTAGGTCTCCATATGTGAAATGATAAACTCATTGAGTTCTCATTCACACATTTCCAGGCCTTCTTTTAGGTGAATACATAATTCTCATAATTCTAGAAAAAGATGGAGACTTTCTAGCTTGGAAGGAAATTAATGCAATATGCAGGTCATCTCCTAAAAAGCCTGTAGGAAAGTTGAGATTTCTCAGCGTAGACATTAAACGCCATCAAGTTCAGCCTGCTGCACTTCTTTTCCAGAAGCCTGTCTGTGCCCCCTCAGGCTTCTTGAGCTAGCTATACTGCCTCAGCCTTAAATAATGGTCCTGACTCTAGAGGACAGAGTTTCCTGGTTTCCAGAGGTAAATTAACTGATTTCCTTTGAGAACCATAGGTTGGCTGTTTTTGTCTCCATCTTTCTGTCTGTTCTGGAATCAGCAGGTTGCCCATGGTGTGGATTCTGAGCATTTTTCTTAGCATCACCGATTATTCGTGTTACATTGCTGGAGTGTTCTTGTATTCTTTATGTCTGGCTTCTTCAAGAGTAGGACTCTTGCCTCTAACACATGCTCTGTGGTGCTTCTACCATAAGGGGCATAGTGACAGTAGTACTCCCAGAGCACAGAGATTAGATGATTGCAGGCATAGATGATCAGTAAATAATTACCTTACAGTGATGTCATTTCTTAGGAGCCGTAGCCTGAAAGCCTCTGAATTAGATTTTATCAATCCCCTCCCAGCCAGTCTGTCTATACAGGTTTGGACCTAAAGCAGCCTCCAGCTTAGTAGTGATGTGTGTTAGAAAAAGGATACTTAGGCTAGAATAAAGTGGTTTGTTAAGTCAGCGGTCTCTGAAGAAGGGCATATATGATGTACAATCTTTGAGGTGTGGATAGAAAATAGTAAAAGCTCTTTATCACAGCCTTTTAAAATTTCTGTTTTGTGGATTCATTTCATAATTATATATTAGTCCATACTAATTTAAAACCAGCAAATACATATACAAATATATACATATTAAAGGTAAATGGCTACATATCTGAGATAGGAGTATACACTCAAAAATGGTTAGTGATCTCTTGAGTAAACAGGTCATTTTCTTTTTAGAACTTTGAAAATTAGAGCTAAAGATTAGCATTAGACCCTGTATCATGTGGTTGAATAAGTCAGGGCCTGAATGTAAGCCTGAGTGGTTGATTAATGTCTCTATGTTTCACGTGACTACTGTTTGATCAGAGGGTATTGTAATTTAGAGAGGTGGACAGCAGTGTAGAGTGGCTGGTCTGCAGCCATCAAAATGAGAGAGGAAACTTTTTAAGAAATTGCTTTGCATTAACTGTGAGTCTAAGAAGCACATTGCAAAAAGTAGCAATAGTGGCAATGAAAGATCAGTTTGTATTTGTGAACTAGGTGGGAAAGGCTTTTCTTTAGATGCTGGCTTTTAGCCACATAGAACTATTAACGGCTAAATTCTGTGTAATCTTTAGATGGAAAAAAACAGTAGCATCATGATCATTTTGCTATTTAAGCAGAGGAAAAATTAAGCGAAGGTGTGTGTGGCTTTGTAGAGCTCTCGGATATCTACAGTCAGCAAAGAGCTGAAAAAGTGCTGCCAAGTCCCAGGTTGCTTTTGTTTAGAATGTGAGAGTTAAAGCATATCACACCTTCAGATTACTAGAGACAGTCAACATTTCTTCAAAGAGCTCAGAATGTTTTGCACATGTTCTCTGGTAAATTTTCACAACATTCCTGCCAAGAGTGAGTATATTGTGAAGGAAGGAGTTCGCTCTCCTTGGCAACAAACCACCAGAAGATTCCCTTTTGTCCTTCATCTTTTCTTACTATCAAGTTATACCTTCAGCCAGAATGTTATAATCTGAGGTATGGTCATCTGCTTTGGACAACTTTATTTGGAAGATATTTGGGTATTGAGGTGAACATCTTCATGAGGTCATATTTTTATGTTTAAAGTGCCTTGTAGGAAAGAAGAGAAGTTTGTTGTCTTTTCTTAGGATTTCTTATTTTTTCATAAGATTTATTTGCAGAGTTACAGGAGAAGAAATAAGTTATTTTGTATTTCATTTATTGGAGCTTGCTATTGATGAACCTAAAATTTAAGTCACAATGGATGGATAGAACAATGTCTCGTCTTAAATTTTGTTGGAAAAACAGTCTCTCTCTAGCAGGATTCTTGAACAGTGACTAACCCAAGGACCCTGCTTCTTCCAGGTGGGGCATTAACCAACTCCTAGCTCTAGGCCCTAGGTTGAATATATTAAGGGGTAGACTTTTTAGCATACAAAAAAAAGGAAATTGCTCCTTCGCTACCTAGTTCACCACTCTTATGTGGCTTTATTTTGTTTTTTTCATTTTATAGTCTCTTTTTTTTTTAAGTTAAAATAAGAAAAAAGTTATAGACAAGTTTACAGACTTGAAGGTACTATCAACAGACTTTTGCTCCACTATATCTTTATTCCCTTTTGCTCTTCTTCCTCTAAGTATGTTGAGTAAATAACATTCTCTCTGATAGCCTTGAAAAATGTTGGTTTTAAAATGCTATGTGTATGTTAAAAATGTGGTTATGATTAGTAGAATAGCAAGTAAAATAGCCATTTGTGGGGCCATAAGGGGGCTGTAGTGTAGCCTGAGATGAAAGCAGGTGGAACTAGAAACTGTCCCATTAAACATCAAGGCAAGTGTTTCCAGAAAATATCATCTTTCCACTCTATAAGAAGCATGTTAATTCAGTTTAATTGTATATCCCCTACCTGCTTTCTTTAGTTTTCTTTTCCTTTTTCTTCTTTTCTTTTCTTTAGGAAAGCACATGTTTATCCTTTTGGGTCACCTATTTTCCTTTCAGTGTGATAAACAGTGACATGAACTAAATATAGCCTTGTGTTGTTCATTGTTCCCCCCCAGCCCCCCACCCCAAACCATTTCTTGACTCCTTCTCTCAGGCGACCTGCTTGTGATATTATTGTCTATTCTTACAAAGACAAAAGAAGAAACCCCCTTTCACCTGAGAGTTAAGAGAAGATTGATTTGCTAAACACTCTCAATGTCAGTGTTCAGAAGCCAGTTAAAGGGAAATGTTGCATTGTCATGTTACCAAGAGGTTTATATAAGATGTTTTAAATTGATTCAGAAGCTAAATGGTGGTAGTGTTAAATCAGAGGTGGCCCTGTGAATCTTAAGAAATACCTACAGTTGTGTGTTTTATCTGCTAGTAGAGTCAATATTCGTGGAAACATTTCAACCAGTGCATTTAATACTAGAGAGTTGAGTCAGTGACTACAGACTGTATTGGTCAATATCACACACTGTAGGTGACTCTTCTAGGAAGGACTCTGTGGAGCTTTGAAGGAAGGTGGCTTTGGGTGTGAGTTCAACTGTGTAATTCAGTTCTT